AGCCTGAATCTGCCAGGGGGGCCCCCTGTACCGCCTCCCCATGCTGTTTGCCGGGTAAAAGAGTGTCTAAGGGGCCCCTGTACGCCCCCCTTTTGCGGCTGTCCCCCCCACGCCACACTCTCCCATGTCCCCATTTTCCCGGGTCTCCTCCCCACTGCTTGAGTTCCATTTTGCCCCAATGCGGGCAAAATTACGGGCCCCCCATTGCTGCGCCACCCCGAAATCTGCCATGGGGCCCCCGAACCTGCCCCCCTCATGCGGGCCCCGCCGGGTCCAAGTCTCTCATGGGTCCCTGTCCCGGCCTCCCTTTGCTGCTGTCCCCATCCCCCAAAACTCTGCCTTTTCCACTTTCGGGTCCCTCAAAACTGCTGGTGTGTTCCATTTTGCAGGGGGTTGCTGGCAGTTTAACGGCCCCCCATTGCTCCCCTGCCGGGGGCCTTAATCTGCCAGGGGGCCCCTGAACCCGCCTCCTCAACGCTGCCGGGTTTCCAAAAAAATCTCTCTTGGGCCCCCGGACGGCCCCCCATTGCTGTTTGTCCCATCGCCAAAAACCTCCCCAAATGTGCCCCTTTCATCTCCTCAACAACGCTGGTTGTTTTTTTTTTTCCATTTTGTCATGGGGTCTGGAAATTTTAGGGCCTCCCTTTTGTTGCTGCCGGGCCCTTGAAAACTCCAGGGGGCCCCTGTACCCCCCTTCCCCCCCCCATGCTCCCTCCCAAAGGTCCAGAGTGCCCAATGGGTCCCTGTACGCCTCCCTTTGGGCGCTGTTTTCCATCCCACACTCTCCCAAATTCCCAAATTTTAGGTCTCCCCCAAACACCTGGTGTTTTTAAAATTTTGTCATAGGGTCCCTGCAAAAAAAGGGCCCTTTCCCTTTGGGTTTGCTGCCGGGCCCCGAAAATCTGCCATGGGCCCCTGAACCCCCCGCCTCCTCATGCGCTCCCCGGGTCCAGTTTCCCCCTCAGGGGCCCCCTTTAAAGGGCCCTCCCATTGCGCGGGCCCTCCATCGCCACCCCCCTGCCATGTCCATTTTTTTCGGGTCTCCTCCCACTGCTGGTTTTTTCCCCTTTTTTGTCATAGGGTGCGGGCAAAATTACCCCCCCCCATTGCTGCTGCCACCCCTTTTTTAAAAAAACCCCCCCTGCCAGGGCCCCGAACCCCCCTCATGCTGTTTCCAAGGGTCCAAAATCTCCATGGGTCCCTGAAAGGGCCTCCCATTGCGCGTCTCCACCCGCCACCCCTCCCATGTGCCACTTTCGGGTCCTCCTCACACTGCGGTGTGTTTCCTTTTTGTAAAAGGGTTTGCTGGAAATTTTACGGGCCCCCCCAATTGTTCGCCAGGCCTGTAACCCTCCCCATGGGCCCCTGTACCGCCCCTCATCCCTGGCCGGGTACAGAGTGCAAATGGGTCCCTTTACGGCCTCCCATTGCTGCTGTCCCCAAACGCCACACTCTGCCAGGGCCCAACTTTCAGGTCTCCTCAAAAACTGCGGGTGTTTTCCATTTTTTTCAAAAGGGTGCTGGCAGAAAAAGGGGCCCTCCCATTGCTGCTACACTAACGCTCTTCGATACACAATGAAAATACCTCACAAGCCTCGACGCTTAAAACCATCTATCTGCATAGGCCTCCGACTGCTGCTGCTCCATTACGCCAGATAAACCTCAGGCCATGTGCCACTTACTAGGTCTCCTAAGAAAACAGGCTGGCAGCCCGAATTTCCGATTTTGTCCTTAGGGTGCAACCAGCGTTCAGCCGACCCCTCACCCCTAAATGACTTCACGAAGGACCCCCAGATACCAGGCCTTACAATTTCCCACTCGACCCGGGCAAACGGCTTCATCTCCCACCCAACTTACTTCAACCCACACACTAGAGCCTGTGACGATCTTTCCCCAGTGCCGCACCGACGGCACGCTCTGACCCCCGAAAGCCCCTTTCCGTATATTAACAATAATATATCGATGGGGTAAACACACAGTAAGCACACCCCCAACTTCCTCGTGATTAGAATCTACTCTATATTATAGAGAACTAAAATAGGGATCAACGAAACCCCCGACTAAAAACACCTGAACGTCATCACAGGGGGTTGCTGCTGCCAGGTCCAGAATCTCTCATGGGTCCCTGTACGGCCTCCCATTGCTGCTGTCTCCATCGCCACACTCTGCCATGTGCCACTTTCAGGTCTCCTCACACTGCTGGTGTGTTCCATTTTGTCATAGGATGCTGGCAGATTACGGCCTCCCATTGCTGCTGCCAGGCCTGTAATCTGCCATGGGCCCCTGTACCGCCTCCTCATGCTGCTGCCAGTACAGAGTGTCTAATGGGGTCCCTGTACGGCCTCCCATTGCTGCTGTCTCCATCGCCACACTCTGCCATGTGCCACTTTCAGGTCTCCTCACACTGCTGGTGTGTTCCATTTTGTCATAGGGTGCTGGCAGATTACGGGCCTCCCATTGCTGCTGCCAGGCCCGTAATCTGCCATGGGCCCCTGTACCGCCTCCTCATGCTGCTGCCAGGTCCAGAATCTCTCATGGGTCCCTGTACGGCCTCCCATTGCTGCTGTCTCCATCGCCACACTCTGCCATGTGCCACTTTCAGGTCTCCTCACACTGAGCTGGTGTGTTTTCCATTTTGTCATAGGGTGCTGGCAGATTACGGGCCTCCCATTGCTGCTGCCAGGCCCGTAATCTGCCATGGGCCCCCGTACCGCCTCCTCATGCTGCTGCCAGGTCCAGAGTGTCTAATCATTGGTCCCTGTACGGCCTCCCATTGCTGCTGTCTCCATCGCCACACTCTGCCATGTGCCACTTTCAGGTCTCCTCACACTGCTGGTGTGTTCCATTTTGTCATAGGGTGCTGGCAGATTACGGGCCTCCCATTGCTGCTGCCAGGCCTGTAATCTGCCATGGGCCCCTGTACCGCCTCCTCATGCTGCTGCCAGGTCCAGAATCTCTCATGGGTCCCTGTACGGCCTCCCATTGCTGCTGTCTCCATCGCCACACTCTGCCATGTGCCACTTTCAGGTCTCCTCACACTGCTGGTGTGTTCCATTTTGTCATAGGGTGCTGGCAGATTACGGGCCTCCCGATTGCTGCTGCCAGGCCCGTAATCTGCCATGGGCCCCTGTACCGCCTCCTCATGCTGCTGCCAGGTCCAGAGTCTCTCATGGGTCCCTGTACGGCCTCCCATTGCTGCTGTCTCCATCGCCACACTCTGCCATGTGCCACTTTCAGGTCTCCTCACACTGCTGGTGGGTTCCATTTTGTCATAGGGTGCTGTATGGCCTCCCATTGCTGCTGCCTCCACCGCCACACTGTGGCTCCACACTCTGGTTTTGGCCCCGTGACTGCCCAAATGAGTGAAGTGTGCGGTGATTCTAAGATCGACGGCACTCATCTGCATGTCATACTGACTGACAGTATTATTTCTCTTCCCCAGCAGACTCCAAGGGCATTTAAAATTAAAGGTACAGTGTTCTGCACTAATATAAAGGCTCTCTGAAGCCTAGAAACCCTTTTTATAAGTTAAATTCGCAGCGAATATATTCGCATCGAATCAAATTTATTCCTCGAATTCGCCGAATCAGCCGAATCGAATTTTTGAATACTTCGCTCATCTCTAGTCACAAACATAATGATACTGATTTACTTAAGAAGTTGAAAATCTTCACTGAAGAATCGGCACACAATTGGGTATTGAAAGTGATCAGGGCTTTTTTTTCCAGGTGATTGGATAAATTAGGTGAATGTTCCTACTGTTATTTCATTGAAGATTTTCACAATGTATATTTAGCAGAAATGTATCATTGCCCTCAGAAAGATAGTAAGGCTTTGACTGAGAGTAGACTGTGGAAGTCCACAAGCTATTTTCAATAAACTAAACAGCTTCAATAAACTAACATAAGCTATTAGTTTGGTCATAGTAGCAACTGCAAGTCTTGTAGCTTTAAAAAGGGTTAAGTATAGATGCAACTCTTTTTAAAGTGGCTCCAGGGCTGGACAATCTAATTTAGTGTAGGGTTGTGTTCCCTAGAGCTTGCTTCTATTTTTTTTTTTTTTTATAAAGTCTCTTCCAGATTTGCTTTTGTTTTATTATCTGCCAGCCCTCATTTAGTTATTCAGAATATTGTGTTAAACTGGTCATAGTGGATCATTGTTTTTTTTCTATGATCAGCCAAAAAAAACAACGGATTCCCTGATACACACCTTCTAGGTGGGTGAAGTAATTTTCCCCACATTGCTGTTGTATTATGAAAACTGGACTCCTCCTCTGTAAGAATGCATTCATCAGCACTGCAGCTGATTGGTCACAAGCTCTAAATGAACAAAAATATACCAAGAGTTCCAATCGAGAAGAGTCAGTCATTAGATTATCTCCACTCAAATGGGAATGGCCATAGATGGATCAAAATGTGTCCATTCTCTGCTTAACCTGCAGAATTTTGATCCATCTATGGCTATATTTAGAAGTATGACTGGGAGGTAAAGGAAGCATTGAATCAAAATGCAGTAGTGCAGAAAGCCCAGAAACCTCTGTATGGGTTATGAAGTTAAATGATGTGGTTGCTGGACTTATTTACTCATTGGATGTCTGAGAATGACCTTGCTTTGTTTTAATTTTTGTATGCTGTTTTATCACGTAATGTGATAGTTTACGTTTTTGGGGCTTTATTCGAGATGTGCAAAGAGAGATCACACAAACACCTGTAGGTAAAATCAAACTGTATATGACATTTATTTAAGAAATGACATATAAAGATAACAAATGTAATAATATTAGAAAATGTAACAAGCATACTTAGCTGTAGATGCTTTTTCACCACGGAGTCCCTTGTCCTTGTGGAAAGGGAATGGTTATCAAACCAGACGTGGTATGAGACTCCATATTACAAATTTTGGCTGTGGTATATACAGGGCTAGTGGGTAGCATTTGGCCAATGGTAAACTCTGAATAGCAGTATTAACCTTTAAGGAAGATAGCATACATTCCTGAAAGGGCTTGACATCCCTATATTGTGAAGTCATCTAAGGCAACCAGACTTGGAATTCATTCTTAGATATTGTGACCCAATAATACTAAGGAAAAATATACTAATATCACAGATTAATTGGAAAATGAAGTCGATCAAAAGGAAAATGTCTATTTGATAAGGTTCTGGTGGCAGCTGTTATCTCCTGACCTATATGCAGTACACTAGATCTGCAAAATTGGAAAAAGGAACCTATGATTGGCCATAGGTGGATCTTTTTTTTTACATTTTTTTTAGCAAGAATAAAAAAAAATGAATGAACTCCCCCATCCACACAAAGAGGATGGAAGAATCCTCCCTGCTGTGCTTTTGTATTCAGTGTGGACACTTCTGCTGTCAGATTACACCTAGCAGTGCTGCACTTATTTGATTTCAGGTACTGATTGAATATTTTCCAATATATTCCTTTTCGAGAGAAGCTGATCATTAATTAGATCAGCTTCTCATGAGCAAGAATGGCCATAGATGGATTGAAATTTGGATGGTCCCAGCTGAATCAGCTGAATTTTTATTCATTTATTGCCAGTTAAAATAAGTGAATAGCTGTTTTCATCACAACCTATTTACACTGGTGTTTTCATTTGCAACAGGTGACTTAATGGAAATGTTTCTGATAAAAAGTATAATGCTTGATGCATGGCTTTCTCGGGCTTGAATACTTTCTTATTAAGTGTCCAGAATAGTCATTAGCCAATGCAACCAGTAAAGTCAGGTTGCAATCAGAATTCCTTACCTGCCTGCTTGTTCTGGATCATAACTTATTTAGCTACAAAGTATTCAAGATATTGGATTATATTTGTAGCATTTAGTTGCTTATAGCACACTAACTTTCAGGTTGACCTCCAGTGTACATAAAATACTGCAACAATGAATCTAATGTTACATGTTTTACTTCACTAACATAATGAAGTAAATAAACTGACAGTCTTAAATATTTTTGTAATTGTAGTTGACTGTTTTCTTTTTTAATCAAATCTAGGTCGGTTAGTAGATGACTCTAATAGGACAGCCAGTGGATCAAACAATGAGGACCAGACTTTAGTCTCTGGGAGAAGTTGGTGGGCTTGTAAGTATACTTGTATATGCTTTTCTACCTCAAACACAAATAAGCTATTAGTTATAACATATATATCGAGTAAAAGGTTTTGAAAATAATTAATTCCTTTGAATGAACATTTGGTTAGGAGTACAAGTACAGATACCAAAGGAAGTCCCTTTTGTTGAAGGAGAGGCAAAAATTACTTTTTCAAAATTTCCTTTACTTCAGTACTTCTTACTTTATTTGGCAAATAATGGAGTCCAATGCAGAATTAGCGTAGCCTGCTTATATCTTCAAATTCTGTGTTCAAACTCTTGTTCTTTCCTGTGCAATTGAACCATTTTCCAGCTCAGGGGACTATTAGAAGACTGTAGATTTCAAATGTACATACTCAACCTGTGTAAGTATTTCAGCTGTGGGATGTGATGATTGTGGCAGGCCATGGCCATGGGATGCAGGTAAGTATATACTGTGCCTAGGATGAGAAAAGGTTGGTTACTTTAGGTCAGGAGGGCTATGCAGTGAAGATATGTGCAGTAATCTAAATCTATCCATATTTATTATCACAACAAAACCAATTATCCCAACTAGGGATGTGGTTTGGGTTCAGAGCCATGTTGGGTTCAAGACAGTTCTCCTGGCTTCACAGCTTAGCAGAACTCAGAATTTATGGCTGAAAATTCACACCTCCACCCATAATGCACCGCATAACCTTTTCTAATGTTCAGAAGAGTCTCTAATAGCCAATAATCTGAAGAAATGAACAAGACAACCTGCTCACTACAAAAAGGATTGGCTCCCAACAGAAATCTTGTATGTGTTGGAGCTGGTTAGAGAAATCTGGTAAATCTGTGTAGTGGGAGCATAGATCAAGATACAGTGCTATACAGTGAATTGCATTGTAGTAGGCCATACCCTTGTGTACTCACCCCTGTGTTCACAGTTTTATAGTCTCAGCTGCTGTCTTCTTATGACTCATTCTTTCAGCAGTAAGTGTTTTTTAATTGCTTGCAGCTGCACCAGTCTTTGACAATGTTTTTGTTTCTTTTGTGATTTATAAGGGATTTTACTTTCATCTAACATATTTCTTTTTTTTTTTTTTTTTTGCTAGGTTTAAAAAACAAATATATAGAGCTGGCTTTTGCTTTGTCTAGTTAGTGGTTTAGGGTTTATATTTTTACTTGCTAGGGCCTTTTTTAAATTTTGCTGCACACACTTGTGCAGAACAGTTATTAGAGCTGCCATTTGCCCTCAGCAGGCTGCCACATTGCTGTGCGATAACTAATGTTCACCAAAAGCATTACACATTCATTTCCCATAACCACAATTTTAGGAAAAGCTAGGCATTTAAATCACTCCCCAGAAAAAATACTACAATGAAAGTCAATCCTAAAATCAAAGGCAGATGTGATAGCCAAATTTTAGAAAACTATACCTGCTTTTACTGTCAATTTATTTTTAGGAAGACACCTTTTGATCTGTTGTGACAACTACTTTCACCAGTCAAAGCAGGACTAATTAAGCTTGATAAATAAGCATGTGTCACTGCTATAAAAATAAATTATGAAACCAAATACATATATGCTGTGTCTGAGACTGAGAAAATCGTGTTGTTCTGCAACCACATACAACTGTAAAGGTGGCCATAGATGAAGAGAATTTCAAATGAAATTTCTTTGGAAAACTTGTACAAAAATTCTCAGAATGTTTTTGAATATTCAAATGTCATTTGAAAGATATAATTTGCTTTTAACATTGGATTTTGGAATGAACGGACTTTACCAAACCAAAACCACACACTGTTAGAAATGTGTTCTTTTGAGAAAAATTTTCCATCCTGCACCTTTGAATTGTTTCATCACTGTGGTCGAAAACAAACATCGATTTGACCCTACTAATGATTAGGTACATTAACAAACTTTCTTAGAACAATATTATACTGAATCCACCCCTGTGCTCTGTCACAATAAAAAAAATTCAATAAATCAAAATAAATGTAAATATACAGAAATAAATAAATCTATTTGTGTACTGCTGCATTAATCCCCTTCAAAAAATAAAAATATTGTCAACAGTGACCAAACAAGTGAGAGTCAAAATCAGGCAGTACATCTGTATACGAGGAGGTATCAAAAACTTTTGAGACTAGGTTTGTAACACGCCAACAGATGGCAGCACGAGACTGCACACACAGGTCACAGGAAGCACCTACCTGACCACGTGCATTACCACGTCTGCTATTTCATCGTAGACAGCAAGTCATAGCAAAGACCAAACATGAACGTCTGCATGAAACTGGGAAAATCTGCCACAGAGACGTTTGACATGATTTGGCATGTTTATATCAATGCTGAAAAGGTGTTTTGAGTGGCCAGGTCCCTAGTCCGCTGACCCAGGAGCAGAAGGAACACCACGTCTAAG